TGTGTGTGTGTGTGTGTGTGTGTGTGTGTGTGTGTGTGTGTGTGTGTGTGTGTGTGTGTGTGTGTGTGTGTGTGTGTGTGTGTGTGTGTGTGTGTGTGTGTGTGTGTGCGCGCAGAAATGTAGATGCAAATCATTTAAACATTCAGTAAACATTTTTATTCTCAAGTTGGTGCCATTAGTATGTGAATTACATTAAAGCAAAAAAAAAAACTTTGTTTTGATGTTAACAACCATAAAACGTTACCTGCGTAGCAGTGTATAATTTATAAGATATTAACAAGCCAGTTGTATTCCAGACCCACACCCTGCTGTGTGGCTACAGTGATGGAGTGCTGGAGTTTAATGAGTTGGTGCCCATGGAGGACCCGGGACCCCTCCGAGCCAGTGGTAAGGACCTGTCTGTTCCATATGTGTAAAACCATATAGTTTTCAGTTGTGATTGATATTATTTTTTAACCAGAATTTAAATATTAGATGTATGCCATGTTTTGCATATGATTGGTGATTGTGTGGATTGCAGTATTTCATTCTCTACTAACGTAATGTCTAGATAAATGTAATATTAATTTTAATGTGTATCTCTTAGGCTACCTTGCGAAGGGTACAAAAGGAGGTATTATGCTGTGGTCTGCTGTGTTGATTATATTACATTAGATGTGCTGTTGATTTAAATAGGATTCTGTTATATTCAGTGTGACATTTTAGCATATAAAGTGTTTGAGGTGTGACAATTCAGCATTATGGTGTTTAAGGTGTGAAAGTTCAAAATGACAGTGCATCAGGTGTTACAGTTCAGCATGACGATGTGTCAGGTATGAGATTTGAGCATGATATTATGTTAGGTGTGACAGTTCAGCATGACGATGTGTCAGGTATGACATTTGAGCATGATATTATGTTAGGTGTGACAGTTCAACATGATGTGTCAGGTATGACATTTGAGCATGATATTATGTTAGGTGTGACAGTTCAACATGATGTGTCAGGTATGACATTTGAGCATGATGTTATGTTAGGTGTGACAGTTCAACATGATGTGTCAGGTATGACATTTGAGCATGATATTATGTTAGGTGTGACAGTTCAACAGGAATGTTTCTTTAGTGTGACAATTAAGCATTGTGGTGTGTTAAATATGGGATATCAGCATATGGCAGTTGCTTGGACTGGAGACAATGGCTTAGTATGATTGCATTCACAACGAGTTGAGCTAGGCTTTACAAATCCTGGGACTAAATATGGCGGACGTACATGAAAGAAAAACTGCCTAATCTGTTAATAGTCTCTCCGCCTCTCACACGCCTCCCCATGTGTCGTCCCAATGGAGCCGAGATTTAATGACTGTACCCCTGCACGAACGACGCGTGGGGAGGCTTGTGGGGGTGGAGAGTCTATTAAAAGATTAGGCCGTTTTTCTTTCATGTACGTCCGCCATATTTAGTTCTTGACTTTGTTGATCCATGGCTCAACTCGATGTGAATGCGGTCTATGACAACCTTTGAACCATGCCAATATTGAGCTTGTTATTTAACTGCAGTGATCATTACCAGATTTGCCATACATTTTCTTTATGGAACACAAGATAAAAGATTCAGTTATATTTGGGAATCTGCAGAAGTATTTCTTCTGTAAAATATAATTGTTGTGAAATTCAATTTTTAGGTTCACCTTTTTTTTCATATTTTCTGCTCTGATTTACTCCTTTACTTCCTGGCAGTTTTCATCTTCTAAAAACCTTGCAGTATATTCACAATGTCTACATTTTATTATGTATCCTCATGCCTGATCACTGTCTTGGCTGTGGTTTGTTGCTTAGCTGGAAATCAAACCAAGTCTAGTGGTTAATATTAGTTACAAGTTATCTTATCAATAAAAGTCCACTGATCATAAGTCAGGATATAGTGTTGTGTATATGATGGTCATCAACCCAGAAATAAGCAATTAATCTGGTCAGAAGCACATATATTTTTCATACGTGACTGGATGAAGTACATAAATGTAATTTGTAAGGTTTCAAATGTGAATTCTTCGCTGCCACTATCGATAGAAGTGAGATATCCCCTCTTAATGATTTGGTTGAAGTATTTGTTTGAAACTTCTGTGTATTATTCCAGTGATTGCCAAGCCTGAGGATCTTGTGGCTGATATGACACATAAAAGATGTAACACAGAACACAAGGAGGCCATTGTGGCTATAGATGCTTGTACAGCTAAGTCTCTCTTCTGCAGCATAAGGTAAAATGATGATAATATTGGTAGATGTTGAAAAGATAAGACTTTGATGAGATGCATAAACGATGTAACACTGTGAAAGGAAATTGCGTTGGCTTTAAATTATTGTGCAGCTACAGGTTTGTCTTCTGTACAATGAAGTGAAATGAAAATTGTGCTGACAACTCTGATGTTACTTTTTACTTTGTAAATTATCAAAATACACAAGTTGACTGCTTAGGGATGACTTTGTGTAAAAAATGATTTTGTGTAAAAATTTGAATTTTTTTTGCATGATACAATAAAAGAGGGACAAAAATGGGACCTATTTTTGGAGTATCATGTCCATATTAGGTATATATATGACCTAAAGAAAATTGTTGATTTCTTTATTGAATTTTTATGTACATATTGATGTTTTTTTCTTTTTAACTATATTTCAGCTCTGATGGAGCTATTAAACTGTGGGAAGAACTTGGGTATGCATTGCTAATGGAGATCATGTTGAATGATACCTTATGTGGGGGGTGCTTTTTGAACAACAAGGGGGACCTGCTGCTGGGATTTCAGAACCATTTGTTCAGCATTGAACTAAGCACAGGTAAAAAGTTGACCTATTAATATATTTCCCAAAAGTTTTCTTTGAACAAAACAGGAACATTTATTGGTGCCTGTGATATCAGTTAAAGTTCTCATTTGGAAAACTTCATTAAAAATACTTGTTGTATCAAAATATCATTTATCATTCATAATACGAAGAGTACATCAATTGACTACATTAAGTTTGGGTGAGGAGTGGATCGAGATTGTGATTGATTTGTGACACAGGTGGTTTTGTTTTTACTATGGTGCAGATAATTGTGCAGTTAAAGATTTGTCACTAATGTTTTTTTTTATTCCTGTGTCCACAGTGTACCCTGGTTTAAGATCTGGGGAGGATGAGGATGAAGACAAGGATGATGCAGGTAAACATTTTGTTCATGTAAACTTTGAATATATTCAGTAATAAATTGTTATGCAATATGCACTTTAGATACCTGCTCATTGTTTCCAGTCATATCAAAATTGGGTTATCTTTGCAGGTCTTAGATCTGCATTTTGTATTTTATTCCATAACTGATTTATTTGATCACTGATCCTAAAGAGAATCGATGTTCTTTTAGACTAGAAAGAAATAATTTTGGAACTATTTCCTTTAATTTAGAAAAAATATATTAGAATTTAGCAACAAAATTATTAAGAGCTGCTTTTTCCCTCCCATATCTTTGATTAAAATATATAGTTTGTAGAAATTTATTAAAGCCATACTAGTATGCGACTTAGTAGTCTCTATTTGTTGCAGACTCTGATATTTTTGAGGATCCATATGTGGTGTATGAAGGCATCCCTAGCAATGAGGACCTGTTAACTATGGACAGATATCTGGTATGTTAACTTTTCTCCTTCTCACTCCCTCTCCCCTTCATTTCACCACAGGGTGGACAAAGCAGATTTAGAAGTGATTCTTGACCAGCCTCTGTCACTGTCCCCTATGCCTGGGACATCTTGTCCAGTTACAATCACATCATCTTTCTTGTTTTTGTTTTTCTGCAGGTGCCTTTCAAGATGAACTTCTCCAGAGATTTCTTGGAGGGTAATATGAAGCAGTCAAATGTCAAACTGGAAGGGGGACCCGTGAGTAGATTTAAAACTGAACACTTTTTTTTTGGCCTTTTGCAAATGAGACTTTTTGCAACTTCTTAAATATGTTGGGAAAACCTTGGCATGATATTGTTGGAAATAACAGGCCTTTTCACATCGAATATTGTCTTCATTGTTCTGCACTGAGAGGTTCCACCATGTAATAATGCTACAGTGAACTTTGCAAGTTTTACAAGTTTGCTTCCAACAATTTGACTTTTCTTTTCTTCCCATATTTTCTAGTTACTGAGTGACAGTGAGACAGATATTTCCATGGCTCCCACTGACACCTACCTGTCCCCCCATGACACCCCGCGGAACCTGTCTCTGCTGGACCTGACCCTGGCTGCAGATGTCAGCAAATATGACCTGCTGGAGAGAGATCTGACAGAAGTCGGGCTCCTAAGGGGTAGGTGTGGAATAGTTGTGAAAAAGCAGAGACAATGGTGTCATTTGCATTTGATGCAGTATTAGAAGTAGTTTTTGATCTCCCTGAGGGATGTCAACTAAGTATTTAGGGATATTTTCTGCATTTTTTATTATCAATTTTTCTTCAGATTCCAGGTATCATTGTATATTCAAAACATTAGTTCCCATCATTTGAAGTATTGGAATGTTTGCAACCTTGTTTATTTGTTCAAAATGCTTTTTAATTCCAGAAGTCTGTGACATGTTAAAAAGAGGGTGATCAACAATGTTTCATATTGTTTGATGTGTTTATACATACACAGGATATCTTATACTGTGTATAGATTTAGTTCCAATCCACTTTTCCTTTTGATGTTATTGTTATATCTTTACTGATTATAACAGGTTTATAGGTGAAATTCCATTTTCATTCAATATTTAGCAATTTTGGTCTTTTATAACTTGCTATTATATTCTAGATATCATTCTTGCAAAGCTTGGGTGAAACAAAAAGAATGTTTTTCTCCATTAATTTTGATGTATTCCATGTTTTTGTTTAATCAGCTATTCAAGACAGCCAGAGTATAAAATCTAGAGTCATGACAAAGAAAGACAAACTTAGACTCAAGATGCTGGAGAAAAGAGCAAAAAGTTTAGAGAAACCATCACTGGGGCCAGACTCAGATGGAGAGGCCCTGGAAGAGGATAATGTGAAAACTATCAGAAAATCAAAGAAGAATGGTAGTTGTGGTTGTTGGTTTGAGTGCATTGTGCTGCATGTGTTATTGACTGCTGTGGCTGCACTTTGTGCATTTATTGCTATTGTACTGCACATTTAATACTTATACTATAGTGTCACACTATAAAACAGAGAAAAAATTTTTCAACAATTAAAAAAATCTTTTTGTTTAATAAATAGAAATATTGTTTTTTGGTAGGCCCAAATATCAGGTGGTTTTTTTTTTTTTTTTTACAAATTAACAAAAAATATGTATACAATTTTTATCTCCATCATGTGAAACATACTATAATGGATCTTGAATTCTCTTCACATATATTGCCCAAAAGAAATGTGAATGCTTAATGTTGTCTTTTCACATTTGTTTACATAGATAACAAACAGTATATTATAGTTTGAAGCAAAATACTTGCATTATTTATCTTAGTGGAAATATGATATTTAAAATTCTAATAGTGAAATAGAATGTTAATAATTACTAACAAATTTATAACTTCACATTTGCACTATTGTCTGAATATCAAATAACTGCTCATTGCATTGTTTACTTGATAAAAGAAATATATTCATTCGAAAAGGTAGGAGGATTTATTCAACACTTAAAAAGATTTGTTCCTCTTTCAAAAATGTCAAATGAGGCCTTTTATAGTCCACCTAAGTACATTTGTGCCAATGACAGCTTAGGCATTGAGCATGCTTTTGTAATTGATTGCAGGATTTGGCTTTTTAAAGAAGGGGGGGGGGGGAGGGGGGGGGTAAGCAAAACACTTTTGAACATAGAGCACAAGAAGACATTCTCACCATTCTAAGGAATGGGAGGGGTTGATAAAACATCTAGTGAGAGGTAGAGTTATGGTAGTGTCGTAGAGAGCATGCATGTGTGTCCACTATTTATCGCACTTGTTACTAAATATGTTTTTGTTTATTTTCAGACTTGTAGCATGATGATTAACAGTATGCACATTGTTTGATATCACTGTTACACTGTGCTTATATTTTTTGTTTCAGGTTATTCACTTCCAATATTTGCTCAATAGACATACATATTGTGATAACAGCATTTGTGAACTTGCAAAATATGAAAATACTATTGGTTTACCTGAAACAGTTCTATCTATAAATTGAACTAGCATTGTAAATAGTGATGCATAAATATGAATTGGTTAAATAGTCATTTTAATGTATGAATTGTATTAAGTTTTTTATTTGAATTCCTTTTAAAAACATGACATGCTATATTTTCTCAGTCATTCTGATTGTTTGGTTCAACTATTGTGGTGCACAGGACACAGGGCAAAAGTGTCCAATGATATTTAGATTTTGGGATATTGCGAGATTTGACAGTGATTCACTAGTATATGACCAATATATTAAGCTGTGGATAAAAGTGTGTTAGGTGTGACATTGTAATTGCTGTGTTGGATGGTGTGACTTGCTGTTGCCACTGGTGGATCCAATGCCCCAGGTGGGAGATTGAGGGAGGCTTATCTTTCTGCTGCTTCAGCCTGGCAGGACTTGTATGCCCAGATAGTGAATAGGATGCTTAAATTTCCCTCTCCCCCTTAATTGACACACTTACGCAAGTGCACTCACATACACGCACACACACACACTTAAGTCTAGCTTTGGTTGCAGTTTGATTTAGTACCTGGAATTAATATTTTGTTTTATTCTTCCAGTCTCAAGAAGAAAGACTCGTCGCCGAGGTATCACTGGCATGACAAGTGAAGAGGAGGATTGGGAGGGCCACAGATATGACCTGCCACACTTTGGACAGTCTCCAGGACCCACCCCCACCCCCAGCCCCCCCTCCACCCCCAACACACCAAGTCAGATGTCTGTCTCAGAGGTCTGTCACCAAGATATGAATGCAAAATAATTCTTATATGTTTTCAAAAATTAAAAGACCTATTCTAGATTATGGACAATTTTTTTTTTTTTTTTTGCATTTAATTTTACTGTGGCACTTTTGCTACTCTATTTCGATTAAGATTTTATTTTCATTATTTCTTTTCTTTCATTACTTTCATGAAACAGGTCAGTTTTGCAATAACAGCTTACCACAGGTTAATGTTTTTTTTACCCCCACATGCCATTAAAACCTGACCCTTACCAACTCAAGGGGCTCCATAGTAACATAGTATACATTGTATCCCATTAACCTTGACATTCCCTGACTCAGTGGCCAATTTCTCACATTTTAGACTTGGGTATGTTATAATTTATAAGCATTGTGTCCAGTGTTACTGTTGTTGTTGCTAACTGCCCAGTGGTCACTTTGTTCCAGGGAGGAGAGAGTACAGAGGAGGAGGTAGAGGTAGAGGAGAAACCTAAGGCAGTAGCAGGTACATATGTCATCAAACTGATTCTTCAGCAATAGTTGATACAGTAATACTAGTCTTGTAGTTTATACGGTTTTTACTGCAGTTGAAACATAATACAAACAAATGAAAGCAAGTATCATGGTAGATGATGTACAAAATTATGTACAAGTACGTACATATGCAGAATTCAAAATATATCCTAATAGTATGCATCATGCAGCTAGATATAGGTTTGCTTACAAAATAAAAAGTTAATGAATTCTAACAATCGGGATAAAACATTCCTTTTGCCTAAACATGTTTAAATAAAAACTTTGGTGAAAATATAACACAATGTGCATTTGAAAGGTTTAGTTTGCTATACCAGTAAGTATATTTTTTGGAGATATGTAGTCTTACAGGAGAATTCTATTTGTGTTTACCTTATTAACCACTGCAGCCCAGCCAGTGACCAAGAAGACCACAACCAAGGCCCCAGTCCAAGACATCATGAAACAGAAGATAGTGGAGCCAGTGGCAGAGAAGAGGGTGGACATGTCCAAGGTCAAGATTGACACCAAGTCCTTATTTGCCAATAAAAGGGTCGTGATGACCCAGAAAAAAGAGGCTGACCATGGCCATCAGAAGTCTGGAGGATCTGTGCTGGTAGGTTTAGAGCAGGGTTTATTTGTCAACCACCATCCTCCTATTGTGCAAATTCCAATATACACATGTATCATAATATAGAAACATTCTAGAACCATATTCCTTGCAATTAAGCATTAAACCCCAATTGTTTTGCAGCAGTTCATATTCCTTACTCTGTAAGAAATGTGAAACAGGCCTTTTAAACATAAACAGAAGTAATACACAGAAATATGAATATTAAAAAAATAAACCTTTGAGAAAAGCTGATAATAAGCGAAAAGGAGAGTTTACTTACAGAAAGATGGTGCAAAATTTAGTTTGGAATTCAAAGTGGACACACGAAAATTTAACACTCATCAAGTAGTAATAAAATATATTCTTTCTCTACTAGGAGTCTGAGCTATCCAAACCAAAACGAGAAGTGGTTAAGAAGCAGATGAAGTCTGACAGGAAGAAGCCAGTGAAGAAGTCAGTTGTTGACTCAGATGACAGCAGTGAGGAGGAAGAGCCCCCTCCTAGGAGACCACCTGTTAAAAAGGTACCACTCACAACAGCCATGAGAAGCTTTTTGTGGGAATTGTCATTATTGATTTCTCTTATTCACACTGATTGCAAGTTGTCATTGTTCACAGGTGCTTGTGAACTAGGCACCTGAAGCCATCTAATTATGGACAATAGTGTTTTAGTCAGTTCCAATTATTTCTTGTCAATGATTATTTATGACATTTTAACAAATTTCAATTTTTTTTTGTCAAGGAATAAAAATGAAAATTAATTATTACAGAAAGCAGCAGCAAAACCAGTCAAGAAAGCAGCTCAGCCAAAAGTTGAAGAATCTCCAAGAGAGCCAGAGCCTGCCAAACCAGAGAAGTCTCGAGAGTTTGAGAAACACTCTGCTAATCTGGAAGTTGGCCCTAGGAAGTTTGGTGCAGGAGCTGGAGCTGGTGCCAGTTCATCTGGCAAAGCACCACCTCTCCCTCAGAAGAAGAAAACTCCTATACAATATAATCAGGTTGCTAAGTCAGAGTCTGGCATTGGGGAGGAGGAGCTGACCGAGGCAGCAGTATTAGCTGAGGGTGAGTTACATTGTGGTAGCTGTGACAGTGTACATTGTGTTGGTTGTGACAGTGTGCAGTGTGTTAGTTGAGACAGTGTGCAGTGTGAGAAACATTTTCTCCTGCAGTTTAAGTGTCATTTTTGAACCCATGTCAATGTATTTGGAATGTGAAACTGAGACAGAGCAATTTGGATGTATTTGACTATGTATTGGTGAATTAAACCTGAATTGAATAAATATATTGTCATGTATTACATTTGGAAATTTGTCATAAGTACATATTTAACTTAAGTAATCTTCTTATTATCAGTCTTAAGATTAAGTATCTGCAGATAAAACTAAGGAGACTTTCTGCAGAGTAATATGATTGTTTTTTTTCTTTTAGATACAAGTGCTCAACAAAATTCTGAGGCTGGTCAGAATGAAGCTCAAAGTCAAGTGGTAGGTTATCACAACAAAATAATATGGCATGCCACGTGTGTAAATGTATAATACATATAAGATGGCATATGCTTTTTCTTAAAACCAGATTATTAGAACTTTCAGTGATATCATAATGCAATATAACTTGACAATGTTTAGTTTGAAAAAAATTTTTGGAAGTAGGTTTTGTAGGTTTAATAATAATTTTTTTAAGAAAATAGCTGATGGTCCTTAAATGGCAATAGGAGCTTGTTCAAGCAGGTCTGATGTCTTTAATGTCTTTAATGAATTTATCATTCCAGGATGAAGCAGATGATCCTGACAGGGCTATGTCAGCTAAATCCAGCAGGTCAAGGAAGTCTGGTTCCTCCTCAGCAAAAAGCCTAAAATTTGGAATTGATGCAAGTTTAGATTTTGATGCAGGTAAGTGTAATATTTAACATATTTTTTGCAGGTTTTATGTCATTAGGTTGAAATATAAGCAAGCTTCTTAAATGTTTTTTTTTTTTGCTTGTGTTCAAAAGTGTAGGTACAGCAAAGGAAATTATGTGATATATAATAATATCTCTTCCATGCTATTCTTTGTTTTCTGAACTTATCCAAGAGTGGTAAAACTTGTCATCAATTCTGTATATTTTTAAAAGAAATCTTTGTGAATTTATTGCATTGTTTTTATCTGTTGTTTGGTAATTTATAGATTGATGAACATTTGTGTCTATTAAAAATATTATGCAGCTTAGTTTCGAAAATATTTATTATCAAAGGAACTGTGGTATTGGGATAATCATGATTTCTTTTGTTTTTGAATAAAAGGCACCAAATCACATTCTGGTGGCACTTTATATTCCATTCTCCTTATTGCTTGACTCTATTTTATTTTGCTTTTATTTTGTTTTTTTTTTTTACCTTTGTTTTCTTTTCTTTTTTTCTGCTTTGCTTCTCACAATAAAGAATCAGGAATTAGTCGAGCTGCTTCATTTGCTGCTATCAGGCGTCAATATGGGAGTGAGGCTGCGGTCAGCAAGGTCATAATAATGCGTAGATTTACGGAAGATGTTGCTGGAAATGTGGACCCCGACGGTACTATATAGCATGACACTAGAAATGAATGCAGTGTTATGTATTGTTACAGCATGGCATGCTGTCTGCCATTTGTACTGTAGTACTTTGTGGAAAGAGTTTATATAGTATGCTGTAATATATAGTCTTATCCAAACTAATTTTATTTTGTACACAATATTTCACAGTATGATGTCTGATGTGTTGCACCCTGCACTACTTCCATAGATTGAGCTACTGGACTCCAACACACCACATGATTTACTGTGTGCTACACATGTTGCTCTCAGGCTTGTGATGCACCAAATATCACAAATAAAAACATGCAACCAAAGAGAGACCCTTTTTTAAAAAGAGGTGTTTAAGTGTTTATTGGTTGTAAGCTGAGTTTATAAATATTTTACAGGTGTGGTATAGCTAGGAGGCAGTCCATCACAGCCTGCAAAGATCACAATGTTGTCATGTTTTCTTTACTTTTACAGGTGTGCCAGGCCATTGAGAATATGATATTTATTACCATGTTCTTTTTACTTTTGAATAGCAAAAGATAATGTTACTCTAAGCCAACTGTTTTCAGAGATAAAACCTTTGGGAGCTTTTCAACTGATGTGTCTTACTTACCTAGATAGGGAGAGCCAAGACTAAGGCACAAGCACATTGACAACTTAAAGAATTTGCAATTGACCTTCACTGATGTATTAATTTAATCTGTCTATTAAACAATTAAATCCATTATATGTATTTAATCTATATTTTGTCCAACTTTCACGGGTTGACTTTCAGTGCACACACCAAAGTAATAGCCATTTAGAGACAGCAACTATGAGAGAATCGTAACTGATATTGATGTGTTTTAATAATCTTACTTTAGCAGGCAGATCTCGGTCATTCACGGAGTCGACCGCCTTCAGAGACAGCGACTATGAGAGTGTTCTAACCGATGTTGATGTGGACTTGGAACTAACCAACCAACAACATGTTACTCACATTTCTTTCCAAACCAAAGGAGCCCCAGACACGCCTAATAAGCATGACTTACACCCTGGGAGTCGCCCCAAGTCTGTGCAGTGGCACGGTACATGTAATGTAGAGATACATGTAGACTACCTCTGACCATTTTATATCTAGCTCTTCACCAGTAGTCCTAGCCCATTTGTGTAGCACCCTGAGTCTTACTACTTTACTTCATAGCCTGAATATGTCTCTGACTATTTTGTCTATCTATTCTTTTATAGAAATGTAGTCCACGTGCATTTTATTGCACCCCAAGTTTCACAGCATAACTGCACTGAAAAGTTATTAAAATTTTTTGATTGAGCATTTGCAAATAGCTTTAACACTGCAGTAAAGACAGAAGTACAGGGGTAGTAGACCAAGCGTTTATATGACACCCTGAATCTAAGGGCGACTTGATACGTACTTAGGTAATAAACAGTCCTAATTTCATCATTTCTTTGTATACTTAAGTATAAAAACTTATGCTAGGCTTTGAAGCTGGGGTGTGATTGTTCTCATTATTTATTTGGTTTGCTGTAGCTCCATCTCTGATAGTTGCTTATTATCCCCTCTCTCTTTTACAGATCATTTTGAACATTGGTGTGATCATCATTTTATCGCCAATTGTTTAATAATTATTTTAAAAAATCCCTTGTCAATCTTTCCTGTGGATTCCACTGCTGACATACTAGTATCACAGATTTAACTTGTAGCTTCTATTTCAGCTCCAATAATATTTGAGCTATGATTTCAAAATAATATAAGTCAATCCAGTTTTGGAGACAACCTTATCGATTCTTGTCTGTTTCTGTAGGATCTTTGCTATTTATCCATTTTAAATCTGTACTTTTTAGCCTCAGTTGCAGCACCAGATTTGTAGTTTTTAGTAATGCAGTAGGATATTTTATAATAATATTGTCACATTTTTCTAAATTTCTCATTATTATTATTATTACACCTAAATATTTAGTAGTGACACTGTATTTTTGTTGAGAAAACACAGCTATTCATTTTGTGCTTCAGAACTGTTGAGTTAGTGTGTTGGTGTCTCTAGTATTAAGGTGTGTTTACTATAAAGTTGTGACAGCTTAACTTAATCCTGTACTATCTCTGCAATAACAATAACTATAACCACAGACATGTGATCTAACTCACTGTTGCTATACCCATTGCTGTTAGAACTGGGGGTGGTTCAAAATTATTACAATCACACAATTTGCTGAGATAGGGAGGTACTAAGTTAAGCCAATAGGATTAGTATTTTTTTCGAAGACTCAGTCCAGCTTAGTAGTAAATACAGCTACATTAACACATACTTGCATAGTAGCTTACTAACCTAATATATGTGCTTTTTATTTCAACATCCTTGCTGTTATTTTGACTATTGATTTATTTTATTTATACACAGTTTTATTATATTACATGAATTGTAAGTTTGAATCCCTTATCAATAAATCAATTGCATGTAAACAACTGTAAGTTTTATTAAACAAGAGTATGTAACTTGTGGAATCTGTTAATACTAAAAATTTGCTACTTTATTCACTACCAATAGTTTGTCTAATTGATTGGCAATCAACTCTGTATACTTTATTGATATACCAATCTGTAACTTATGAATTTGTTGTAACATTTAATTCCTATAATAATGGTAATCATGACAACTGTACACTATAAATTTTGATGGCAACACTAAACTTTTTAATTGTTTAACACATTTTCCAAGTAGTAAACTTTTAGAAACTCAGACTCTGTCTCTAGCAGTTAAGAAATGATTCTCTTAATGACATTGATTTTCTCCATCAATTATTCACACTCCAAACATCTTGACCAAAGGATTAGGCATATTTGTCCAATTTATTCTCCAGATGCGACAAGTGAACAGTACAATGAGAGTGCAGCAGACATGGAGGCACTGGAACGCTCCACTCTCACCTCCCCAGATCCCAGCCGGCGGTCTATCACCCCTGGAGACGGATTTTACTCAGACACAGACTCCATCCGTGATGGTCAGATGAGCATGGACACCATGTCCATCCTTGACCGAGGGTCATTGTTGCCAGTGGACAGTGTCAGTATGAGGTCCTTTCTGCTCAGTCCAGGAGACAGACTACAGGCTGGAGCAGACGACATGAGGTCCTCCATTATGACACCTGCCACTCCAACAGGTAGGACTCCAACTTGCCTAGATCTTAGATGTTGCATCTTTTAAATTTTCTGTTTGTGAAGAAAGTTCTCATTTCACCAAAAAAGTGACAATCATAATATTTTCTGTTTGTGGAGTTTGATTTTCTTAATGCTAGATAGAAATATTTTGAAAGTGTTTTCGTTGCACTGCAGCCCTGACTAAAAAGACTGGTTACCATAGAAGTCCTTCAAATTTTTCATGTACATTATGAAAATTGATCTGTATGTATTGTCTTGCATTTTATGGGAATGACAAAATTGTCCCAGGCTTTCAAATCTTTAATTGTTTTTTTCTTTTTCTTTCTGGGTCAGATAGATTTAAAGCAATATTATTGTATCATCCAATGCTTTCTGTTTACAGAGACATTGTTTCTTTCAAATAGCTACGCTGTCTTTCTCCTTCATTTTTTTGTAAACCAATTCATTCTTTATGTCAGTAGTGTTACTGGTATGTGTAGTTTTACTGTTTGAAAGATTTTGTACATTCAGTCTATTAGATGTTGATTCTTAGGAGACTGTCATTGAATACACACCCTAAAGTCATTCATCACATGTACCCTGTACTTGTAAGAAAAAAAATTTTTTCAATCCATTTGTGTCAACCTTGAGGACCTTGGTGAAACATCCACAATTGAATAATTGAGTCATACTCATTACAAAACATTTTCTATTCAGTTGCTTCCTTTCGCTCCCTGTTTGTTTTGTTTGTAAACAGTTCTCATACGTTTTTTCTTATAGAGTTAACCTGCTACTTGCATTCTTAACTTTCAAAGGAAAGTTCTTGGCTGTTTATCTAATTCTGTGGGGTGTATTTAACTCTTTATTGTGTTAATTTGTTTTGAAATAGGATATTTAAGGTCAAAGTTATTCTCATGTCCCAGATATTATCGAAACCTGACCTATTTGTTGATTAATCAAGCTATCCTTCTTGACAACTGACAACAGTTCTTGATATTTTAATGTGCATGTTACCCGGTGCTAGAAATCAGAGGATCGGAAAGAGGCAGAACTTGCAATGAGATCCTAGAGATATTGAAGTGTGCATTTTATTTTCTCATGAGTAAATGATGTATTTTATGGATCTTAACAACTGAGAAAATTGCTGGTGATTTTCATTTACCTATTTCCTGGTGTTAATGGTTAAAAACAATGAAACTGAGGTGGGTAATTTAAAAGCTGATATGAAAGTCTGCATTGTTTTTTAGTATTATTTTATGATTTATTTTATGCTAAGTCTACAACTGTCATAAGGCATAAGGATTTTAATGTGCATGTTTCTTAGCACTAATAGTGTAGCTGCAAGAGAAAAAGAAGAATCAAATTGATATCTTAGACTGCATTGCTTTTTCACTATGGTAAATTATTATTAATTTGTGCCTGCTTAACAACTGTGGACAGCATTGAGGATTTTATTTGTGATTCTCCAAGCACTTGATGCTAAGAACAGGGATATAAAGATATTGGACATTTATGTGATAAACTGCATAGCTTCTTCACTATGATTACTTGTTACTTCGTGGAAGCTAGCCTATCACCTCTCAGCTGGCACATGTTTGTGTTCTGAATATTTGAGAACTCTAAGAACTGAGACACAGAAGAGCTGCAGTGCTAAGTGTTGTCATTGTTATAGTTGTGCCTTCTTGCTGGACAGTTATTCCAGTGATCTAGTTTCAGTGATTGGCTGAATTCACAACCCAAGTTAATCCAAGTACTAACAGATTTGTGGATAAAATATGGGCAATCCACTTGAAAGTTTACCACATAATCCCTGCAGGGCATCTATTCAGTGTCTATTAGGGGATTTTGCAGCAAGCTTTCAAGTGGTTCAGCCATATTTGATCCGTGGATCTGTTAGTCCATGGATCAGCTTGTTCTGAATGTGGCCATTGTTTTAGTTGATTTTTAACACCTACATGTATTGATTGTATTCCAGACACAGTCACTGACATTACACGTCCACTGAGGCCTCACACAGCAGGAGTATACTACAGGGACTACAGTGAACATGGGGATGATGTGCAGGTTAGTATTTTGACCTTTGACTTATAATATTTATCTTTACAGAGTATCATTTTGTATGTACAGTTAGAACTTTTTTGAAAACTGTTATTCCATTGGAAACTACTGTTATGTAAAGTATTTCAACATTTTAGCAGTAATGTCTTATTCCTAAAAACAATTTCAGAATACAGAAGAGTGACAGTCTAGTGCTTAAAACTATGAATTGCAAACTAAGAACATCATTAACTTATAACAAGGTTAAAAATTTATTTGACTGGATGTGAACTGTGTTTGTCATCTTATTTTCAGGATCTTGAAGCCACCTACATGGATGCATTAAGGAGATATCAAAATTCACCTGGGTAAGTAGAAAAATGAATTCTTAAAGATGAATTACTTTTCTTCCCTTGTTGTTTTCTTGAAATAATTTTACTATTGAAATGTTAGTTTTTACATTGTTTATATGGTAACTCATTTTGAAAGTGCAGAAATCTTAGGAAAATGTTGTGATTATTAATATCCTGTCCTCTTCCTTCAGTGTTGCGCCTCTGGATAAACTGTACAGAAATGATGGCACCTCCTTTGATGATCACTGGCAGGAGAGAGCCATAGAAAGGTAGGCTTAGTATGCAGACAGGCTTCATGTATGGATTGATATTTCTGAAAATTCTAGTAACTTTGATTTCAAATCTTACAGTTTGTTAGGGTTAAGCATACATAGAAAATATGAACTTACAAGATAATTTTATTATTTTACTGTGTATGTAAGTGCTAATAGGTATGTGGTGTGTGTCCATTGTTTCCTGTTCAGTACATTACAATTATGGGGTTTCAGTACATTACTATTATGGGGTTGTGGTGTTAAAATTAAGAAAAAATCTTGTCAAAACACTCCTTATCTTGTGCATTAAAGGGACCTATTCTGTTTTTCATTTCTAGAAATAACACTGCATATTGATTGTATATAAGATAACATTTGGTTGATGGAGAGTTGTTTATTGACAAAATCTGATCAAAATTAGAAAGGTGTAAACTAGTAGACAATGACTATTTTACAGGTACGTGAGTTAACAAATAATGCACATTTTGAGTTTAGCTAATTAGCAAAAATATTGCATATCATTATTTAGTTAAATTAAATACATGAGGAAGGAAGGTTGAAGGAAGGTTAAAAAACCTTATTGGAATATGAAGTGTGAGGTGGATTGTCTTCACATTAGGATAGAAAATACATTTTGGGTCCTAGCTTCGGGTTCATATATATATATATATATATATATATATATATATATATATATATATATATATATATATATATATATCAGCTACAAAGGACACCCACTGTGCTTCTGTGATCCAAACACTCCCAGTAACTTATTAGTGTCCTATCAGATTGTTTTTAGACATTAATTTTGTAAAATGCGATGTATTAAAATGGTAAACTCTTCTTTGTCATATTCCTGCTCAGTGATTCAAAGTTGCCCTTCTTACAGTAGTTGTGGCCCAAACTCTCTTCTCTCACTTAACAAATATCAGCTGATGATTGAACAATACTGACATTTTATAATATTGGTGTGAAATACTGAGACAACGTAAACACCTTCATTATACAGCACAGTCTAAAGCCAGGTCTGCTCTCACAGTGAGACAAAGGTGACCAGTGGCGTATTTGTTTGTTTGTAAGCATGCATCTCAAATGACCTTTTCTTATAGAATATTGTTTACGCGTGTGTATAAACACAAACACAATTAAGTATTATGCTTCTCCACTGTAACAATGTAACAACTTCTAGTGAGGTTTAAACTGACAAAAGAACTCTGTTAGGGCACTGACCTGGATTACAGCCCTTGAATTAGAAAATTAATCCATCTATGTGTGTATATCATACATGTAGGTGATCAGGCGTTTTTGTACAGGTAGGCTTTTAGTTTTTAAATTGGTAAAGAAAATTGGTAAAGAATTAGTAAAGAAAATCAAGATCTGAAAAATGTGGTATAGTCTTTGTGAAAAAAAAAAGTTAAACTTGGATCAGCCATTGAAAGGTTTTACACAGATTAGTTCAGCTTTTTTGATGTTTGAGTGCTGAACAGTGTGATAATGATGTAAATGATCGAGGACCCCATTCATACAGATTTTACATTGATCTATCCCTGTGAGGAGTCTCACTAGATTACTGTCAGCTTAGCCAGCTTAAGCATCTGTCCCACCTACTAAAAGCTGTAAGGGGGTAATTAACTGTCATGTGCGCTAGGCTGACTGCAATTTAGCGTGAACCCCCAGGGAGTTAGGTCGATCCGGATGGATCATTCTAAATCTCTGGGAATGCACTCTAGGAGATGCAGGTTTAGTCTGTAAGGATCCATATTACTCAAGATGCTGAGACACTAACCAACTAGAGTGCTGCAGTCATCTTTGAGATTTTCTCACTATTTTTATTTACATCTTACTGCAGTGTTATTGCAGTGTCACTATATACATCATACATGTTACAGGCACTTGCTGCTGAAGATGCAGAGACAGCTGAGAAGTCAGAGTGCTGCAGAGAGAAGACAGCTGCTGGACCTGAGGCAGAAACAAAAGAGGAAAGCACTTTTAGGTCACCATAATTGTGATCAGCCACATTTGAATGGTCAAAGTAAGAATTGTGTTATTCTTTTTATACTGTAATGACATAAGAAAAATCTTTAGTGAACATGAATGTCTGCTGTGATGGCTGAGCACACAGGTATTATATATATATATGAGTATGTTAATATTTTAGGTCCACAGGAGGTCATACATTGTGTGGATGTAATGTTGTGACAAAGATGTGTTCTTACATGTCTCATTAGTTATTGAAATTATCTGATAACCTTAAGAATGTTGTCTAGATGGACTTGTAAAATTGTAATAGGAGGTAGTGGTCGAATTACTGAAATCTGAAATATAATACTTTGTCAAAACAACTTTTATCTATTTATGAGGTTCTGACAATTTACTTGAAATTTTTTATGATTTGATTCACAATAAGTAATGACAACTAGATATTTTAAAAGAGGTCAAACTGTCTTAATGAGCAAATAATTTTTAAAAAGATATATGGTAAATTAGGAGGATGGTAATATTTGTTGAAAATGTGCTGTACATCCAAAGAAAAGTTGTAAATTCTTATTAAATGAATAGAAAGACAGCAGAAATGCCACGTTCATGCATCTAGCAATTTTACAGCTTCATCAAGCCATCTTGACATATTTGTCTTCTCTCTTCAGATCGTGCGTCCAGAGAGGCTGAGGTTGCCATGCATCTGTTCCACGTGGAACGTGCCAACACCCCCGTGTCTACCACCAGGGGGAGTGACCGCAGTAAAAGTGCTCCTGCTGGTCAGGTGCGAGGTGGTGGTCAGCAGGTGCCCCCTACCACCCCCAAGACGGCCTTTGTCCAGCCAGTGCCACAAATGGACAAGGCAGAACTTAGTGCTGAGAGACCGTTCAGGTATTTGTACCACCTATTTACATGCATATGGTTTGTTGAGGCATTTGTGAGGGGTCATATTGGATAACTAATTATTACGCCTTTTCTCCCTGTATGTATACAAATTATTGCTGAAGTAATTTTATAAGTGAATTATATTAGTATATTACATTGATTATATAGTGTTTTTAAAATACATATTATCTGTTAGAACTGGAACATAAAATACAATTGCAAAACTTATGAAATGATTTTCACTGAAACTTAACTGAATGGCAGTATGATCTATATATATATCCTGATATTGACTTTTGAATGTCTTTCTAACATGTTTGCAGTGCTGTATCCATTTGTATAAGTTTTGCTGAGATTCTATTCATTAAATACATGAAATTACCCAAATGACACATGACTCAAGCTGTTTCCTCTCTCCAGGATCAGGATCAGCAGTGAAGTCCCCCAGCTGCCAGTCCAGACCACAAGAACTAAGGAAGTGCAGTTTGATGCCAGGGCCAAGAGTGCCCACCACGGGCCAGAGCGTGGTCAGCGGCAGGGGTCTGCCATCTTTGTCCGACCCCAGTCCACCACGCGGTCCATACCCAGCAAGTGCAGGTGGGAACCTTGAATTTGTTTGTAGAAAACATCAACTGGACTCTCAACCTTGCTTTGAATTCTTGATTGTCATCCTAATATAAAAACCCCATTTTTGCACTTCCCATAATATGTTTAAGTCAGTCTAGAGTTGTCAATGAATGGTCATCGATAGCTGATTAATTTGCTTTGTGTAATCAAGTGATCTTCAAAATTATATCATTACTGATATGTACACCATTTTAATATTATGACTTTTTAAGAAAAAAGGAAGGGTATTTTATAAATATGCAATTATTGATACAGTTTGTACCTAAACGATTCAAATGTATTTATCAAGTATAAATGATCAGAAATTAGATTTTCTAAGTGATGCAAAACATGCTTCACATTTGGGCATTTGATCTGTCAATTTAATTTCTAAATCATTGCAGACTTTAATGCACCATAAGAACTTAATATGTGATATTATATTGTTGATATATCAAGATAATGAAGTATGCAATTTCTCTTTCATTGCAGTCGCTATATTCTCATCAACCATCCTAAGCGCAGGTCACCATACTCCACTCCCACCCCACTGGAAGAACAGCTTCTGAAGCAGAGGTTTCCCGAGCAGTCAAAGAGGATCCTGCCCAAACCAGCCAGGGACAGGGACAGAGTGTCGCGTGCTCACCTGGCGGAGTACACCTCCCTGCCTTTACACTTCTAACAAGGAGAAGAGATCGTTGCTCTGTTGGTGAAATAGCAGACTTCCTGTGCAATGTAACACAAAACCGACAAAGCCACACAGTGGCTCTGAAGTTAGATGATTGAGTGAGATGACTGTTTTTTGTAAGACCAAATATAGCTAACAAATGCCAGTAAATGACCTAATCAAGCATAGCGCAGTTAGGAAAATTGGCGGCTGAACTTGAATTATGCAGCAACAGCTTCCATTATCAAACATTGCCCAAAATGTCTGAACAGCATATTTTGCTCAAGTCATCAAGTTTGTAGCAAATGAATGAAACTAGAATACACAAAAGGTTCAGAATAGTTGGAGGGTTGGAGTAAAGTGTGGGAAAATACTTAAGACCAAGTGCCATATGCCTGAGAACCCATCATACATAGTTTTTATGTGCCAGCATTTTTATTGTAGACTCTGAGCTGTAAGTATGTAAACTTTTATAAATATTTAAAAAAAGATTTGTGATAGCAAAGAATGTTATGTGACAAAGCGTACAGTTAGTTGTGTTGTTAAGATGCTATGTTGCGTTTGTTTTTGTATACTGTTTGTGTAAACAGTGGCTGGTATAGTATATTGAGAGATCTGTGATGTTGTAGTTCTTCATTGAAAGAATGTGCAAAACTGTGATCAAGTTATTTTTAGTTAACAACATTTTGTTTTACAGTCAATGTTATAATATGAGTAATGGATATTTGAATGTAAACTCAAAGTTAATATTTTTGCTTGTGATGTATAAATATTATTGTCATTATTCAAATATATACAACGTTTGTCTCTATAAAATGTTTTTGTTATGTAAAACATCTAGCAAAGGACATAACAGTAACATCAACATTATGTCAACTGTAAACATGACGTCGCTGCTGATAATTATCTACAATCTATTAGACATAATAATGCTTAAGCTTCAGTTAATTCAAGTTATAAATTGGTTATATTTGCCAGTTGTATAATGAACATGTGCTTTACTTAATAGGTACTGGCACCATGCATGTATTCATACTATACATTGGCAATTTCCAATAGAACCTGCTGAATTCAGCTGCAATTCATAACAAATACTATCAAAATTTCCAACTGTTTTCTAGGTAAAAATGACACCAAGAGATCGCTTGCATTCAAGGTAAACAAAGACCTTAATGTTGCAAATTTTTAAAAAGTATATTATCAGTAAAATTAGCCATTTTTATTCAGAGAAAAAACAAAAACAAAAAAAAACAATGCTGTTATGAAATTAAACTTCACAACAGTTACATAATAATAACCTTTACAATAAGGTTGTTTCAAACTTCTTGAATATATATGTCTCACCATTAATCAAAATACTAAATCATTACAATCTTATAAAACTACTATCTGTATGCAAAATTTACAGATATAAATTATTAAATTCATAACATAATATAGCGATTGATAGTGAAATCAAATATTGGCATAGGCTAAAAAATTAGCAAAACTTATCAGCACAAAGCCTTGATATCATTGTAACTTAAAGATGGTAGGACTAACTGTGCTCAATAATATTATTTTACCATATTAAAATATGCCGTATTACATAATTTCAGCTGAAATTGAAAAATTCAAAGGGCATCTCACATTTTTGACTAATGTGGTAATCACTTGAATGTTTGACAATCATCAATCAGCTACCAGTATCTCTGTCAATCTTAGTCTAATTACAAATCAAATTAAATTTGATAGCACATTCAATTTTAATCATAGACATTTTTAAAAGAAAAGACATCTAGTGAATTTAAAACATATGGGGCCAGTTTTATAAAGGACGTTTAGCACTAACCAGTGGATAAATTCTCCTTACACCCATTAACTAAAAGATGGTTAAATTGTGTTTCATATACAGTCTTCTGACGGAAAACAACCAATTAGTTAACTGGCCAGTGTTTAACTGGATTAAATAATTATTTAAAGGTCAGTTAACTAACAGACTGTTAAGGTCTGGTTAGAGTTAAACACTGGTTAGTGCTAAACGTCCTTTATAAAACTGGGCCATGGTTTGCATGTTGTATTTACACTTTCTTTTTTCTGTTTCAACTTTTTGAATTATCTATTAATATTTTAGTAAAACTTAGTCAGTTGACTTACTTAAATCTTATGGATTGTTCTTATGGATCAGATGATAGTTTCAATGACCATGACTGCTACTGTTGATTCCCCTCCAAAATGTGCGTTTCTGATCAGAGATTCTAAGTGCACTGATATGTACAGTTTGCCCTCACTGTTGCCAACCTACACATTTATAAAATGTCTTTTCTTTCGAAAAAATAATCTTTCTCATCAGTTTTTACATATTTTTAGGAAGTATGACAAAAGAAAGATACTGGCATTTAGAGTGCTATCATGTTAAGCTCAACATATCAATAAATAAAAAATTCAGGCCAAATGATAAATTGTTCATCAGAGTGGCGATGGCGGCACCCATTTGTAAGTCCCACTGTATCTAAAACCTACTCTCTGACAGAGGGCATCACCTTCTGCAGGTCCACGGCTGAAAAGAGAAGAATGTTTTTTAAAGAAGAGTTAAGAAAATATTATTATTATTATTGCACTTGTTATTCTGGTCTAGAACCCAATACATACATCTGCAGGGCACTAACTGTGTATGACATATCTGACTAATATGTAAATAAGCTGTGCAATCCATTTAAAGCACATGACACAAATATGCTGACATATGTTTTATGATATGAATGCAGAGCTGTGCAGGAGCTAAAAAGCTTTAAGCATGAGAATAAGTCCTCAATCGTTGTTTTAACAAGTACTACATCATTTGGACACATCATTGAAATATATTACCAAAAACCCAAAACATGTAAGGCTTAATTTATCAGTAATTAAGAATTTGAAAATATACAAATACCAGCCATAATTAAAAACATCAACTTCAAGTAAACTTTAGTCCGTCTTCACATCAGGACTAACTTAGACCAGACAGTGACTACACTGCATCATACAGCCTGATAATCACATGAACCATGTTTACCATAAGTCCTTGGTCTAAATTATTCCTGGTGTGAACACAAAATAAAATCTTTATCATCACTGTCCACCTGATGAGGAAGGTAGGGGGGAGGGTCCAACACCAAATCAAAAAGTTATTTAAAATTTAGTATCATAACTTCTTGATTAGCAGGTGCAATGATTAAACAACTCTTTAGATAAGTGCCTCATAAAAAATTGATCCTTGATCTATGGTATTCACTGAGCAATCACATTTAACCAAATTACAATCATGCATGATTTTCAAGAGCTGGAAATAAATATTAATATGAAGATAATCATTAAAATAAAGGTTCTGTGGAGTTTGCAGCAGTTATGGTGTTTAAAGCAACAAAGAAACATCTTTTGCACACTGTAATTAGTAAATCAACATCAATTTAAGATTTGCTGAAATTTCAAATCTCAAATTACTATTTTTAGAATATTAGCTGAACTAACATGATTACTATAAAGTGTGCAGTAACAAGCTGTGCCTGCTTCATCAAGCCACGCTGCTGGTAGCTAATTGCTACTGCATGGCAATAAATTTGTTGTGTTCTTTATAAATATAAAACAATCTACAGTTAATAACTACATGGCTTTATGAAAAAGCTGCAGATTAGATTTTCCAAGCAAAAAATTGTGAGCTTTAACAATTCAGTCAACATAAAGAGATTTTAAATTAGAAGAGCTATGTGCAGGGTTGATGGTGCTATTTCTGCTACAACTAACAGCTAAACTGGACACACTGGCCTGTGGCATTGTGTTGA